CAGACGGACACACACACACACACACACACACACACACACACAAAGTCACGTAAACACCCTTAGCCCGTTATTATAAGTTATGATGATACACAGTGGACATGTCCATTTTTGTGTATAAGCGAATTGTAGACTAATTATATCAAGCTGGTAATGTCTCAGAACTTTTGCTAACATTATACTTGATTGCATATCAAAAATGCACGAACGTCGAGACAAGTCGCAGGTCACCCCTCTCATGAAAAGTTAAGAAATTAATGCTGGTAAGAGTAAGCGACAGTGTTTTCTTCAACATTGCTAAACACTGTCTATGAGAGTTCAGTTTCAGTTTCTAACGGAATTCGCGTAATCTTCAGCATGATATACATCTGCATTGTGTTTACGATGGGAAGTTTGAGCAATGTTGAAGAAAACAAAGGCTTAGATTCTGTTAGAATAGAAAAAAAACAGTAAACATAGAATAAGGAAAAGTAATATTGTCACAACACCAAAGTTCGTAAAGTAGTTCAAAGGGATTGGAGATACTACTTTGAAATTGAATTAAGGCTGACTATCTGAATTTGTGACAGCGCCGGCCTCGATTCATTGAGGTAATAAACCCGAGGTCAAGTCAGGTATTCGCACCTTCCGCGCCATGACGGAGGTTCTCACTCTCAGAGGATAACTTCTGCACAACGAGCTTGTATTGTATGTATACGTGAATGAAGTCAATCATCAGTAGTGAAAATAGATTTTTATTTGTTGTTGGTGTGTATGCCTCACCCCCTATAAGTAAAAGAACGGCTAGATGAATTACTCTTATCTGCTTATGTTTTTTGTTTGCCTCGCAAGTTTTTGCATCAGAAAAGCGAAGTACATCCGCTTCGCACTTCATAAAGGTGCTGCAGTACCAAATTGGACGACCTTTGCTCGCAAATCCTTTTTTGCATGTGCACCGCAAGAGGTGCCGAACAGTCGTTACCTATCAAGCGAGTGTTTAATGATGATATGGATGAAATGCTGGAAGTATTTGCTGTATCTGGTCACTCGTAAAACTCAACCGATGTAGTTGTCGCCTGTTTCGGTATCTTCTATTTTTCGCTCATTGGCTTTTTCATCTCCTAATCCAAAATGAGAATTCTACTTTTGTAATCTTCAGTGACCTAGATACAAGTCCATCTGCCCCATTTTGTTTTCCTTCTTCTTTTCTGTGGCAAGCTAATCCTTTGAAATCACAATGCCTTCTTGGTTGCATAAAAAGTGGTGAATGACGTCCAAAACTAGCACAGATGCCACTCGCCTGACTTCAATGTATGACATTCACAATATTTTCGTCGACTCACCAATTTTTCTTAGCACATGTTCCCACTGCATTTTCTTGATTGAGAGAGACTTTAGGGTTAACTGCCATCCCCCTTGGCGTGCGAAGATGTTTGAAACATCCTCGAGGACGCTTTTCTACACGAATGGGATTGTGCCGAACTAAAGGAGAAAGAACCTCTGAGAATGCTACAATGACGAAAAGTGGAATGGGAAGTTGCATGTACCGCCTTTTCAATCCGGAGGAGGCGAAAATTCCAAGTGGAGCAGCGTGTCCGCCGCCATTGGCTCAGCGAGATAGATAGAATGAGGGGAACGCAGACTGCAAAGCGGCGCGAAACGTTGCGAAGCGGGCTCCCGCCAGTCCAATTTCCGCCTAAACTAACTCAAAACTTACTGTACGCTGCCCTTCAAAACCATTGTAAGTTTTTAAAATCAGAAACTACAACACTTTCATTGCTACAAAACTTTGCTCCAGGGAATACACACGAGATTATCGTCTTGACCCTCCGCTGATGGGCACAGCCCGACGATTTTATCCTCGACAAGCGATATGCTAAGCAGTTGGTGTATTTTCAAGCAGGTTAAAAGGATGGAAGATGAGTTCATGGGCGGCGACGATAACCTTATAAATACTGACTGATTCATGCGAATTCAGATGTCGCAGCAAATAATCTGGAACTGTAGACGGACATAATAACTCATACTATCAAACATGTAACTGATTTTTCGCGCTCAAGTGCCACGCAAATTGTTCACCATGTACGAAACCCGACATGAATAAATACCCTCTCCAATTTTATGTTTGCCGAAGAGAAATGACTGCAATGCGTCAGAGGCTGTAAACGACTTCTAATGCGCCAGCATCTGCGGCCAGCCATAGGGGCATGCTGGGCATACATCAGGTTTTGGGTTTTGAAGTCAGCCATCGGGAACTTCAAGCATGCTGACCGGTCAACTAAGAAAGCATAGTGGGTACCAGGATCAAAATCTGTTTATCGAGCAACTCGCGGCATGGGTAATTTGGGGGGGGGGGCAATCACACGCGAACTTTTCGAAGCAATTGTCCAAAGAAATGTGCAGGAGTTTCGTTGTACAGTAGTCACTTAGAAAAACACTTGCATCGTTTGCGACGTAAATATTCACACTTTGAGAAAGCGGGAAGCTAATAATCTTTTGCTAGGAAGCTATTGTCCACTAACAGCACTAGCTCTTTGGTAATGTCGGAAGTGACAAATGCTCATAACTTCCTTTCCAGCAATGCTCTGCATATAAAGAAAGATTTCAAAACAGCGTCCCAAACTCGTAAAGGTATGCAACTTATACTGGTCGGCCCTTCGAGTTTTGGCCGTCCCTTGTAAGGGTCTCTAATGAATTATGCAGGTCCCAAAAGTAAGTACACAGCTTTTGTCCTTATAACTTTCTTCCGGCAAAGTCTTTTGCTTAGCTCCCAGTACGTATTAGGTAGAGCAGGGTTCGGCCTAAATCTGATATACGGCGAAGCACCTGACGCTCTTCAATACTGTAGGATTACGGTAGGAATTCAGAAAGGGGTTGGGGCCAAAAATGGCTACATCGCTCTAGAATGATCACCCAAAAAGCTGAAAGTTTTATTATGAGGCTAAACGGAGTCGCTGAGTATGAACATGAGATCCGCATTTTACCATAAGTTTTTTACAAGTTATACCAGCTAAACGCAAATATTTTCAGTTTTTTTTTTCAAAAATGCGATTAAGCCATTTAAAACGAACTTAAAACTCTATAAAGTCGTGCTAAGAAACTAGCATGTCTGAGAACACTGTTACACAACTTCCTAAAAAATTTTGGAATTTTCCTTGAGATGGCCCATTTCACAATGGCGCTGTATGCTGGAAGTTGCTACCGTAATCCTACAGTAGTGAAGAGAGATAGCTGATCAGCTCGAGTTCGAATCTGAGCTGGGGTTGCTTTACTGAATGGCACTTAAAGACAGTGGCTCGGAAGATTGCAACTGCGCGCTTTGTTCCTCCTTGGCTTTCTGGATGCTTTTAGACCACAACTGTGCTTAAGATAGGCGCCAGGCTAACCGATCGTCCTGCTTCAGCAGGATGCGGCGTAGTTACTGTCATTTGATGTCACGTTGGAGGAAAATCATGTCGGTGTCAGCGATCTCTCTACGACAAACATTTTCTGGTGGTAAGGCCTTTTCATCATTCGCCCGTACTGCGAAGTTTTTCGACATCACACCAAAACTATAGTTGTTGCGAACAACGCAAATGCCACTACGTCTTCCGTCCAACGTGATGCTAAATGACATAAGCTTACTAGTTGCGCAGCGTTCTGCTGAAGCAGGCAATCGCTTAGTCTGGCGCCTACCTAAGAAGACAAAAGTGCTTTTTATGGCGTTCTCCGGTCTTGGAGATTGCTAAGAAGGCCGGAGCGGAGATTCGCAGCCGAGTCGCGATTGGCTACCTGGGCCAATTAGCCAATTGCCGCCAAAATGAGTGGTGTTACAGTGCAGCCAGTCCCTGTTTTTGGCGGGGATTTCCGATCCAGCCTCCTCAGCAATCTCCAAGACCGGAGAACGCCATAAAAAGCACCTTTTTACTTTTTCAAGCACAGTTCTGGTCTAAGCGCATCCAGAAAGCCGAGGAGGAACGAAAAGCGCGCAGTTGCAATTTTCTCGAGCCGCTGTCTTTAAAGCTAAGCAAAAGACTGTGAAAAGAGAGTTCTCAAAGATTGAAAAGTGTGTGTAAAGGCTACTGCATGACGAAGGCGCAGAAGCCGTATTAGTTGAGCGGGCGCAAACGCGGCGCGCGCGCATCTTCACCATTATGAATGCTGCGTCTCCTGCGCTCTGCGGCTAATAAAGCCGCGTTCGCGCCCAAAGAATTGTGCCTTCGTCATGCAGCAGCGTATACTTACTATTGGGACAATTTGTACATAGGATCAAGCAGATCTAGATACCCAAGTATCAGGCGCGCACACCGAAAAATTTTTTTGTATGCTCCCTAAAATTTTCGCGGGCTTAGAACCCCGAAATTTCAGAAAAAGGGGGCGTGACGTCAGCCACGCCCCCGAAAAAAATTTCTTGTAAGACCAAAATGAATTTTTAAAAAATTTTAAAAGATATTTCAATTATTTACTAGTACAAACAAGTCACTTGCGCATTTTTATAACTCATGTAAGTAACTTTCAAAAATTTTGCGACCCGTTCTCCGAGCGCCCCCCCCCCTCGGTACGCCACTGCCAAGTATCTAAATCTGCCTTAATAAAGCCTTCAGAGTAGCTTCGTGTTCTCACATACTTTTATTCGTTTTGATGAATAAAAAAAAGAATGTATTGATACTGGTCATTCCGGCGTGGAAAATTAGGTTATGTTATAGAGCTACACTCCATGTCATGACTGGATTCTATCTCTGTTTTCATAGCAAAACTTATAAACAATTGCTATATTGCTGCCATACACCTAAACAGATACAAAACACAATCGACTAATCAACTATTGTTCACTGATCGGGAATGAGGAGAGGCCATTCAAAATGTGATTTCTTCCAATGCTACAAACTGCTAAATACTAATATATCACGATTTATTCATTCTGTTCTAGTATAGAAACTGTAAGCTAGTAAAGGGAACCCGTTATTGCTGGAACGCCAGCGCACTTATTTGTCGAAATGTGCAGTTTCGATGATTTTACAAAGTCAATGCTGACACTACATTCACCTCCTATTTGCCTCAAAAAATTTTCTATCAAGCGCTGCATAAAACTATCAGTGATGAGATTTCCATATGTTATCCTCCTCTAAAGGCAGCATAGACTAAAGGAACTGCTACACCTATGGCTGCATAAAGCGCAACAACTGATAGCAAAGTCTGCAACTTCATCTTCGACTCGATATTCTTTTCGGTTTGATCGAGAAGTCGTTCCATATCACTGCCGACGTAAACCTGAAATTGTGAAAATATAACTTATGTTAGGCTCTACGCAACATAAATTGGTCAAACAAAGCTCACCACTGCATTTGGATCAGAATCGAGGCTGACCTCTATCCGAGCTAACCGCGCAAGCTCTTCCATCTTAGACGCTAGACGTGCATTATCTTCTCGAATAGCCGCTATTGCCTAAATGACTGCTTCACTTCAGGTTTCAATCGTCCTTTGTGCGACATTCTACCGTTCTCGCAAAACTTATAATAATTTGGATAACAGGCACAGATATGGCTGATCACTGGTGAGGTTTGCGATACAGTGATTATTTGACTACCTTCATGGGTTACCACGACCCCAAGAAAATGTGCACACTGTTTGTTCGCTAAATTTTTTGCTTTGATATCTTCAGCATTCTGTAAAATTGGCTTCAACTTAAACCCTCTATCCTCTTCATTAGTGTAAGGCAGTGGCGTACCGAGGGGGGCGGGCGGGGGGGGGGGGGTCGTGAAATTTTAGTTACTTACATGAGTCATAAAAATATGCGAAAGACTTATTTATACTTGTAAGTAATTAAAATAATTTTTAGAAATTTTTCAAAATCCAATTTAGTTTTATAAAAAAAACTTTCGGGGGTTATGGGCCCGCGAAATTTTTGCGAAGCGCACCAAAAATTATTTCTGGGTGCTGCCTCAGAAAAAGATTTCAAAAAAGCCGAAAACTTTGATCTTAGGCTGATCAAAGCCGCCGAGTGAAATCAACATGCTTTAAAGGCAGTGTCCGGGCAAAAAGTCGATTTTGAGATTTTGTGCTTACCCGGGCCCATTCACTATGCTGAATCCGAAAATCCACATTGGAAAGCGCGAAAACGGCAAAAAAAAAGGCTCTAACGCAGGAGGGAAATCGGAAGTGGGCGGGGTCCTCCCCATTGTGAATTTCACAGTCCCAGCTTCTGGAGCGATGTTCCCAATTCCTCTAGCGCCCTGAGATCTCCACCGGCCAGGTGTGAATGCATGACTTGAAATCGGAACCGGGAAGACCGCTCTGGAATCTGGGAGCGTGAATCCACAGTGGGGAGGACCCCCACCTGCTGCTTTCCCTCCCGTGTTAGAGCCGTTTTTCGCCGTTTTCGCGCTCTCCAATGTGCAATTTCGGATTCAGCTAGCAAATAGGCCGGGGTAAGCAAAAAATCTCAAAATCGAGTTTTTGCCCGGACACTGCCTTTAACACATTCACGACAATACGACCCGCCGGTGGGTCGTACGTGTTCTGCCATTTCGGACAATACGACCCACCGGTGGGTCGTATGCTTTCTGAAGTTTTTGATTTTGCTAGTTTACGGTGAAACTTTTTAGACAAGCCGAGTAAACTCCTGCATACACCTCATAAAGTACTTCCCAAAAGATTAACACTTCAGAATACAGGGCCCATCAGTACCTAAAAGTATTCCGCAAACTCAATTTTGCGAAATATGCTCTGGTCCGAAATGGCAGTCAGCGAATTATCGGCCCTGTCGTGAATGTGTTAAGGCTCTGCTACACTTCTCAAGAGAAAAAATTCTGTGAACGGCCTATTTTACGATCGTTTTGTATGCTGGAAGTTTATACCGTGATTCTACACCAATGAAGAGCGTTGGCGAACCGCTCCATACTGTAAGTCTAGGTTGAAGCCACTAGGAGATGGTCAAGAGGCGCGATTTCTCCAGAATTTACCAATTTCACAACTCAATCTAAAGCTATGCGATCAAAAATATACCATACAATGTGCGCTAACTTACTAACAATCTGAAGCTACCACTTCTAAATTTGACAGCTTTTGGTGAAAAGTTGATTGATATATTCACGGAAACGACACTATTTACATTTTCACGGATTTTTGACCTCCAACACTTATGTTAAGAGTATTTCAAAATGATAGAATGACAACCTATGGGACGATTATACATATGTTGTTAAAGGTTTGTACTGCTCCCAGAAATCATAAGATATTGAAAAGTCGCTAACTGGTGTCCGTCTGGCAATAACAAATCGCGCCTCTTGACAACCCAAAGACACTCTACATATTGCCTAGAGATCGGCAAAAGGCACTAAAGCAAGAGATTAAACGAGATTCTAAACATAGCCAGCATGAAGGAGACAAAGTTTACAAAGAGTCAATATTTAGTTGACACTGAAATATCTGATTAAAAATTCCCAAAAAATTTTCTTTTCCCAATCTTTCCAAAAGATGAGGGTGAAACTAAAAGATTGATTTATAGTCTTTGAATCGTCAATAATGCATCGCGTTTTAGAGGAAAGCATGTCTAGCTGCAGTTATGAGTTCAAATCAAGTGTGCTTTTAGCATGCTGAACTTACAGAAAGGTGAGATGTGGTAGTGGAACAATTAAAATGCGGAAAAAAATGGATGGGACTTGCAACAAAAGGTCTTACTGTCTACATTAGTGTACTCGCTCTAATAGGTAAAAATTCGGTACTAAATAGATTTCATAGATAGCGCTTTTTCGAGCTGCCACAATTAGGGAGATGACTAAAAAAACAACATATTTGGCCAAGACTATCGGAAAAATGGAAGTAGGGAGAAAGTTACGGAAGGACACAATTAGATAAAAAATACACAAAAGGTTACGAATTTTGCACATCAAGTTATAAAAAGAACTCGAGAGACGCATCACCAGATGCTATCTATTTTCTAGACAACACAGAGAGTATAGATATAACCATGCTTTCCGAAGGAGCGTTGAACCAACACCCAAATGCAAAAATCCCTGCTTCCAAAAGCGAGAAAAAGAGTGGACAAGAATGAGCTCTAGCCGGAAGATGCGAAGAAAGAATTTGAAACTGCACTTGTTAGAAACCCGTCATACTTCGCCGAAAAAAGCCCAAAAGCGCCCGAAAAAGCCCAAAAGCGCCAGAAGGAGCCGGAATGCCCCTTAAGCACGCAAGTTTTGGCGCTAAGGCATGTGTATTAATTTCGCAGTAGAGTCATTTTGCTTCATTATCTGTCGTCTGCACACCAAAATAATTTCAGAATTCTATTAAAAATTCCAGAGGCGTTCTGGCTCTTTCTGGCACTTTTGGGCTTTTTGGGCTTCTTTCGGCGAAGTATGACAGGCCTCTTGAACATGTTGTAGAGAGCTGAACGTTATGCCACATGATACTAGCAATGCAGAAAGTAAAATCGAATGCCTGTCCAGGCAGAAATATCTTCATCTATTTTGGTGGAATCAAAAAGATCATTCCTTATCCAGGTTACCTTCTCTGCACTGACATTTTCAAACTGTGACGGATCTGATTTTTCGATATGGAGTTGATCGAGTTTCAAGACGTCGCGCATCTCTGTGATGAAGCCTGTGACCTGTAAACATTATACTTGAATGGAGGTTTGTCAAACTTATCAGTGGTTATATTTGAGAGATATGCAGTGCAGGAGTGTTATGTGGACTTAGCTATCAATCATGCAAAATTAAGATTGATCGATGGCGGTTACTACAATTATTGATCAAATTCTGTCAATCACAAACACATCAGAATCTGTATCAAAATGAAAAAAACATAAAACGATAACTAGTCAACATACGTTCAGCCAAAGCAGGCACAGAGACTTGCTTGGAGGTGAAAGAAACATATTAGAAAGCCAGCAAAAATCAAGTGTATGTAATTACCTTTGCATTTTGCTCTCCCAAAAGTCGCGCCATTTCACTCATCTGTGCACCACCGATAGGAAGCATATCTCGTATTCGCCGCATTCGCAATTCATTACCTTCAAATTTTGAATGAGCATATATGAAGTACATATGAAAAGGAGCCACGGAAGTTTACCTATGGTTGCTCCAACAATTCCTATTATGGCGCCGACAAGGGAAGCACTCACGGACCACCATTTTGTTTTTTCCACACGTTCTCTCTCTCTTTCATGTGATGCACGCACTCTTAAAGTGGAACATTACTACCAGATAATCGATACAAACTCTAGAACTGCATAGTCAGCATTAGAAAGTTAACGACAATCAAAAACTTGCGAATGCTAGAAAAATCAACGAACGTGTTGGATAGCTGATGAAAGGACTCTCGCTCAGCAGCTTCAAGTACCTCGAACTGCTCAAGTAAACCTCGTTCTTTCTTGATCAAAGCATGTTCCTCTGTTAACAACTGCAGATACCTGAAAGTCATGAGATTCGTCTACAGTTTCACTGGCCTTGGGAAGTATTATTAGGTTGTCCCATAAGTCTTTTCAAATTCGGACCTTCAATTTGATATTTCTCAAGAACTAGGGCACCTAGTAAACTGTAAATTTTTGACAGTAATTCTGAGTGAATATGCTATATAATCGCCTATTTTCGGGGAACACAGAACTGATACAGGCAAAGTTTGAAAATTGAGCGCATTATTTTTTTCTTGGTTTCTAGCCATCAGAAAAATGCAGCAAGTGCATATATAGATATCCGATGAGAAGAGTATACGCATGAAAAAGTTGGAAATCCGCAGAGTTGTTTTGAACTGAGATATGACGATTTTCATTTTTTCGGAAATTCGGAATTTTTTTGTTTTGGCTAGGAACTTGAACGGTTTGAGGTTTGTGCGAAATTTTGAAGGCCATCTTGTAGACCTTGCTTTGTTCTGGCTAATGGTACCACGCATTCTATTAGAAGATCAAAAAGAACTGATTTATGTCGCTGGAAATTTAGGTATGAAAAGACTTTTGGGACAACCTAATAGATTGTTCCGAAAGTTCTGTCGCTTTGATTATGAAAAATTCGTTACTGCTTCCTATGTGCATTGACTTACAAAAATACTACAGTTAAAAAATCCACCCACTTTCTAACAACGTCTTTGCGGCTCTTCGACGACAAAAGACCCCAGAGATAAAAAATCGAAGAGGAGAACCACTCGAACTCGTGATTTTCGAAAATAAATCGTCAAGGATCTGAAACACTGCAGAAAAATCTGAAAGCATGTTTCTTATAGGTTTTGTGAGCTGCTTTCTAACAGTGCCAAGTTCGCTAATTGAGCTTTTTTTAAATAAAAGTTGTTTTTCGTGAAAAATGCAAAAAAAAAGCCAAAAATGGCGTTTTTTGCATTTTCTGCATTTTTCATGAAAATTATTACTTTTCGTAGGAAAACTCAATCAGCACAAACTTGGCATTGCTAGAAGGAGCAGCTCAAAAAACCTCTGAAAAATGCAGAAAAATGCACCCACATTTTTCCGCAGCATTTCGGATTTTTGACGATTTTTTTCGAAAATCGGGACTTTGAGTGGCTTTTTCTGATTTTAATTTTTGAATCTTTTCTGTGAAAGTGCAGCAAGATGGTTTTAAAAACTAGATGAACTTTTCTATCCAAAGATATTTTTTGTAGGTAAGCAAGTTCATATAGCAGTTACGATTTTCCAAAATTAGAGCGACAAAACTTTCGAAACAACTTAATATAATGCGGCTGAGTTCCTATCAGAATCACTCCGAGTGGTGCATGCGCAACAAAATCTATTCGAACTAATAGTATGTCCATGAGACGATGGATCAAAAAAAGGCGACGATAGAAATGTGTGTAAAGTTGTTTTTAAAATGGACGGTGTGACATCGCTTTTGATGAAGCGGACACGGGTACCTTTATGCACGTATAATACGCCTGAATCGATCTATTCGTCGCATGAGTTTATTTGAATAGCAAAATGTGTATAAATCGAAATCGCACGAAAATAGCAAAGAATAGTAAGGTGAAAATAATAAAATCCAATGAAAGGAAACCAATTGACCTATCTTCGCCTCTACTGGTCCTATCGAGCTCTGAGTGGATCTCCTTGAGTCGAGATTGTAAACTTTTTATTTCCAACTGCTTATTCCGCCTATCAATTTGTGCTATACTGAGTTTCTTCTCCCACTGAAAAAAAAAAGAAGCATAAATTGCATTGAGTAGCTAATGATTTACAAAAGACAGGCAAGCAATGCAAGAATGTGCAACGTACAAATACAAACCATCATCACTCCAGCTTGAGCCTCTTTCACAGCCTTAATACCAATGAAATCTTCATAGGCTTCAACCCACGATTCGATCTTGGCTCTAAACAAAAGAGAGATAAAACACGCAAAAATTATAACTAGCCGAAAGATCGATACAATAACCTGAGGCTTCCAACAGCTGGTGACTGCGATGGGCTTGATGGAGCTGTCACCGGGACAGATGAGATGGTCCTGGATATTCGTGGAAGTGCGAACAATGTCGCACTAGGACCACGCAGCATGCCTGGAAATCGGAGTCACTGCATACACAAAATATAGAAGTTTGATAAAGAATAGTAATTGCACACACAAAATATAGAAGTTTAACTATGAGTAGTAAATCAACATGAAACAGGAAACTTTAAAAAATCGACGGCGCTAAAAACGCGTGATAAAGTTGATAACAGTAATTTGCTTGAAAGCTAAAAATGGGACGATGAGAAGCAAAAAATTAGGAAACTGCCAACGCGCTCTCTGTTCACTTGAGCGTTCACAAGAACGTAACAACTGCCTGTCAACATGGTTTGAAGGACATTAGATCAATAGCATTACCACTGTTTGCAGATTATAGTGAAAGAAGATACAAAAAGTTAACAACGATGGAACAATCAATACACGCTCGAAATAAAATGTAGAATCGATCGAAGCTCAAAAAAGTGAAAAACGATGTCCTGTCAAGTTGTGATCTTGTCAAGTTGTCGATGTCTTAACAATGTTCAATGAGCTTAGCAAGAACACATAGCAGACTAGAGTGAAGCACTTGGCACGAAAAAGTAAAATAACTGGTTAATTCGAGATGCGGTCGAAATGTCACTGCGCGAGCAACATTAAGTGAAAAAAAAAGACAAAACGCCTTATAACCGGTGCTTATTTACCATTCATTTGTGATCTCTAACCACAATAATCAAGCAGCTAGAAAACAAATTGACGAAACTTGAGAAATTCGGAACAAGGAAGAGTACCTCACAGCTCTTCTTAAACTCTCTTCCCGTTGCTTGGAACGAAAAAATCCATGTCTTTACTAGCAAAAAACGGTGTGCTGTGATATACTGCAGTTTCAAATCAGATTCAAGATACTGACATTCACACAGCCGTGTATGAAACACCGTGAAACAAGTGAAGTAAACACTAGCTCTTTAACATATTAAATGGGAGAAATGAAAGGAATGTTAAGCTAAACGTTTTCATTATTCGCATTACACCGTTTCAGCGAGCCAAGATTTATCAGTGGTGAGAGTCTCAGGTGGAAAAGCCTGACGATCACGGCTTCGAGGCAACGGGCGGCTTTTCTTGGAAAAATTGCTGAATTTTATATTTTCTCCATTGAAATATCATCTGAAAGGTTTACATCAACCCTTTATTATGAATTTGGAGTGGTACGTTTGATAAGCGGAATAACAGAACTTGGGGTCGTTGCAGGGCTTCGTTCCATCTCTTCTTCATTTGATCTTTTTGATTCTAGTTGTTCCATCCTTCTCAAGTACGTAAATGTTTGAAGCGGTATAGTTTTGAATTATGGAGATTCGTAGTACGCACATTAAATAATTCCCAATCTTCTGTTTAGTAATAGTATCTTGTCTCATTTCGCATTCCAAGCTTACATCCGTCGAAAATGACTCTTATCTCCATTGCCATTGTGTGATCCCTTGATCCCCTTTGCTTATTACAGTGGTGTATATTAAAAGTGCTCCATTTTGATGCGAGAGCAGATGATACGGTTCTGAGAAGTTTTTTTTAATAGAGATCTCTTTTACTTTAACTCTTTTACTTCTCTTTTACTTTCTCTTTTACTTAAGTCTACAAAGTGTTACTTACGGAAGGGAGACAACCCTACTCACCCTTTCGTTCTTCTGTACAACTTGCTTATTATTTTGTAACTTTCATTCCCCTTTATAATTCATTCAATATGCGCAAAATTTTATGTAGTGTACTCTAATTCAGGGCGGCATCATGTTTCGTCTTGGCTCGGGTACTCTACAGCTCGTGCTTTCATCTGCTGTAGAGCAGCAGAGAGGCTTTGCCACCCTCAAGGTGAATGCGCTTTTCCGTTTTGATACAGTGGATAAATAGCATGTTAAAAATTGCCATTGGAGTTCATCTATTCAGGACATCAAAATTCGGCTCAAGTCCATCCAGAACATCCAGAAGATCACCAAGTCAATGAAGATGGTAGCCGCCGCAAAGTATGCTAGAGCTGAGCGAGATTTGAGGGTATTTTTTTCGATTGATACCTTTACATGTGGAATATATGTCACATATGCCGGCTATGGTTTTGGTTGTTCTAAAAACTGATGTGAAGGTCATATGTTTCAATTTGGGGAAGTTCGGCATCGCTATAGACCATTAAGCATTTAGCTGAGCTTAATTTTAGGGTGCACGTGCCTACGGAGTAGGAGCAAAGACTTTCTTTGACAACATCGACCCAAAAGCCGAAGGAGAAGTTGTAAAGCCGGAAAAGCAGAAGCACTTGCTGGTACTGGTCACCTCTGATAGAGGCCTGTGTGGTGGTGTTCACTCGTCCATTGCCAAGGTTTGTTTGATTTCGTTTGCTTTATGCCCATCAATGGAACTCCAAAATGCTGTAGGATTTGCGCCTATCCAGCTTGTGTCCCGTTTTGCCTCAATTGCCCCAGAACATAACATCTTTGTTGATAAATGTACTGTTTGTAAACTCCCATTTTGCGAAGTAAACTCCATGTTTGGGGCTGTGAACGCTAAATGATTTTTACCTCTAAAATCCCGTCAAGTCTGTGAATGGTTATCGGTAGGGTCAGATTGAACATTCGTAGCGGTCATCCTAAAAGAGGCTAGTTTTCCCATCTATGTGTCTTCCCAGTGTGCGTATAGTGATCGCAAGTCAAAACGCATAGGCTTGCTCGCGCAACAGTAATACGTGCGTAGATTGCGTTGAACTCAATTAGATAGTATTCTTGCAAAAAAAAGTTCGCCTTCGTGACTTTTCCTCCCCATTATACGGTGTGTAGGTGCAAGATTTCCTTCCTTGCGATCAGACATTTTCAACGGTTTACTTTAGGAAGCTAAAGCTATCCTGGCGGAGTCTCCCGACAAAGACATTCGAGTTGTTTGTATTGGCGATAAATCAAAAGCTTCTCTGCAACGCCTGTATGCCAATAAGTTCCTCCTTAGCGGGAAAGACATTGGTCGAACTCCGCCAACATTTGGTGATGCATCTATCGCTGCCAAGGCGATACTCGAATCCGGATTCGACTTTGAGGAGGTAGTGTCTTATCAGCTTCCCGATATTGGTTGTCAACGCTTTTTCTATTTGATTTTTGGTCATATATCAGCTACGTAGGTATAAATGGTATAAATGGTATGCGAGAACAGATATTCGTAAATAGTTCTAAGGCAATCGCATCTAGATGAGATTTGTTCCTTGATCATATTTTTTGCCCTAAAACATTACTGTGTTGTGTTACCATGGTGTTTGCTGGTTTGTGTTGGAGAAAGCGCATAGTAGATTTCACTCTCAAAAAGCCACGATTATTGGAAAGCTGGGTCTGCGTTGTATAACGTATATTATTTCTCAAATTGCATTTTGTGGTCTTTTGTAGCGCTATGCATTGCATTGAGGCTGTTTATCCATATACAAATTCTTTGTGATTTAGGCGACTGTCATCTTTAATAGATTCAAGACTGTCGTGTCGTACCAAACAACGAGATTGCCGGTGCTTCCGTTGGAGGTATCATATCATTATTGTTTTTTCTTGTTCTGTTATACTTTTGCCATCTGACTTCGTTGCAGGCCATCAAATCTAAAGAAGCTTTATACACTTACGATTCAGTCGATGATGAAGTTCTTCAGTCATATAGCGAATATTCATTAGCTCAGTTAATCTATTATGCTATGAAGGAATCAGCAGCATCAGAACAAGCTTCACGAATGACAGCTATGGACGGCGCTTCTAAGAATGCTGGTTAGTGTTTTTTCCCCTGTTTTATTTTGGGAATTTTGTCATTGTTTTTCTTACTGAATTTGAGATTTCCGCTTTTTTACTGTTTGAAATTCGGAGCTATGGGAACGGCCATAGATTGCCGGCAACTTCGTCCGACGTTGCCGAGGTTGCCGGCGTCTCGGGATAAGAGACGGCATAGAGAGCGCGCGAAGCGTCTATCATCTTACGGCAAGCTCGGAAACAGTTGTGGGCAACCTATGACCGTTCCCTATGATTAGCGCTTTACGATATTGTTGTTTCTTGCGAATTATCTTGTCTGAGTTGAACCAAAGAGTGATCAGTTTGTAGGCTCTAAAACTTCAGTAAGGAGACAAGTTTAGACAGAGTTATTTTCTTATGAGCCCTACGCCATATAATTGCCCAACCAAATAAAAAATGCGGTAGATTCTTGCGTTGCACGCACGCTTCCCCTGATTTTCAGGATTAATCAATAAATTTTTGGGAAGCATAATGCAGGGGGGGGGGGAGCGCACCACTTCCCTTGGTATAATATCTGTCAGGCTCCCCCCCCCCCCCCACCCCTTCACCGAAAAAATCGCGCTCTGCCCTATCAAGCAGGTCTTTAGGAAGAAATGCTCAATCTTTTGGCACGAAGATGTGATGAAGTAGATCACGAGCAATTTCAAAAGGTGCGACTATTTCCCAAAGGAAGTGACTAACTTGCCGAAGCCAAAATTATTCTGAAGTTTCATGTGTAGGTGTCGAATCTGCTTATTGCACTTAATCTATATTGAAGCTTTTCCATTTGTGCCGTTGAACTCGCTACCACAATGCTTTCTGAAAAAAGCATCACTCAAAAGTCCTCGGTGCGGCAAAATTGGAGGAATCAACGTCATTTAGGGCCCATCATGGTCGCAGTTACGAGCTTTTCGGCATTGGGGACAGAGGAAAATCCAATTTTTTTTTACACCAATATCATGTTTTTATCGTGCGCCCATCCTCTTTTCTGTCCTTAGGCGGAATCTACGCGCGAAGAAAAAATTCGAGGCGGGCGGTTCAGTACACATGAAAACATGTCTCGTTTTGAAATTCGCAAGGGGCGTGTCCTCATTTCGTCGGACATCTCCTCGTCTACCATCTGCTATCGTGTACGGAAAGTGCAGAAATTCTTGCTATTATACGTAGTGATATATGTGCAAAATCTTCAGTACGACAGAATGTCAGCTTTTGTGACTGCTGCGGTTCAGCCATACAGCCTTGCACTCGTATACATTTTTTCCTAGTCCGCGCCTTCTTTCTCTCTTGTAGCAATAATCATGGTCGTCTCCCAGAACTAAACTTGGTGTAGTTATCCAGACATCCGAACATGCTAGAAAATTTGTTACCCTTTTATTGAAGTATTGCTTCTTGTTTTCTCGCGATCGAATAGATGCCACACGTATATGTCAACGAACGTCTGCAATGCTGCACCCAATTTGTAATGGGAAGGCGGCATCTCTAGATCATGATTTGATTTTTTTTGCCTTGTAAACTGCATGTAAAATATCATCTGTGCATTAGGTCTAAAGTGAAGACGAACTGTGTACCTATTCTTGATTGTAAGTTTATGAGATGCAGCGCCTAGTCTAACACGGAAAAGTTCAAATTTGATAGTGCTGAAATATGTTCATTGATGTTGAAGAAATAAGTTGTGTTGTCAGCATTGCTGGAAAGACGTTCCTCAGCACTAACGCTCGCTAGTTGCAGAGGTGTGTCAAAAAACGGCAGCGCAGTTTGTGTGTGTGTTTTATTTGAAAAGTGTCTTGTCCATTTCGCTTTTATTGCATTCGTTCACAGTTTGTCTAAGATCATTAGGAATATCGCAGCATGCAGTTTGCTCTACTTTACACTCTTCTATTCAATATCTAGAAACCAGTGGCGGACCGAGCACCCCCCCCCCTCCGAGAATGGGTCGCGAAATTTTTAAAATTTACTTACAGTCGCTTCATTTCATATGATCATGTGTGTCATTGCACACACAGTTCACCTTTGGCGTCCCCATCCTGGATTCGTGGGAGAAACAAGTCTTCATGTAAGTGTTTCCAAGGTGTTCTTAGCATTTTCTTTCCTTTTTAGTTACTAGTCACCTCAAATTGATGTGATCGATAACAATCGGTAAGACTCTTGCGTTTTTGCGATTGCAAATCCAGGATGAGGACGCCCAAGTGGACTGTGTGTGCAATGGCACACATGATCATATGAAATGAAGCGACTGTACAAGGGTTATAAAAATGTGCAAGTGACTTGTTTATTCTTGTGAATAATTAAAATCCAAAAATTTTTTAAAAATATAATTTAGCCTTGTAAAAAAATTTTTTCGGGGGCGTGGCTGCCGCTACGCCCCCTTTTTCAAAATTTTAGGGGTTATGGACTCGCAAGAATTTTGAGAAGCACCCCAAAACTTTCGGAGTGCGTCCCCAGTCCGAAATCCTGAAACCACCACTGCTAGGAACAAGCATTCGCGAATATCATCAAATACATTGTCATTTATCATATTTCTTCTCATTTCATATACCTCATAAATGTGTTGAAAAGTATAGTATTTCTGCTTTTGTATTATTATTTGCTGGAAAGTATAAGATGGCTCCAGTAAATATTCATAGAAAAACATTTTTCTGCTTAGTTTACTGTAGATTGACGCCTTCTAATATCGTTCGTTTCACTTGCAGGTGAGATGATTGGAAAGCTGGCCTTGCAGTTGAATCGTACTCGACAAGCTGTGATTACTAGAGAACTCATTGAGATTATCTCCGGAGCTGCTTGTGTCTAAGCCAATACTACATCAGAGCATGTCGTAACGGAGGAGAAACGATCTGCCAAGGATGTTTAGACGTCGATTACAGTTGTTTTTATGTTTAATGAATAGTTTGTCGGAAGAGTAAATATTGATGATATTCTTATCCAGGGTATAGACCTTAAAATTATCTCGTAGCTCCCAATATAAAATATACTGAAGTTGTTCTACACTGCAGTAACTCTAGGATTCATCGACGGGAATGCCTTTGAGCCCCTTCAGGGTATTGTAGAGTTATTACTGTGTTTATTAGCCATGGATATTTGTGTCCTCGAAAGGGCTGCAGAAACATTGCTGGTAAGAAACAGGTTTTTGCATGACAGTTGCTTTCTCAACTTTGAATGTGTCTGAGTTATTTTGACGGAGTTTAGTGTTGATAGAGGTCCAAACTTCAATTTGTTCAAAAACATCGTAAGAGGATATCATAAAAGTGAAAAAGTGGTGGTTTAGGGGCCTCCCAATCTTGTTTCGCCAGAAAGTCGTCGGGAAGCGGAACAACTTTTTCATAATATCAAGCAAGAACTGACCATCGAAGCAGCTGGACAAGTAATAAGTAAGGGAAGTGGATGGACGTTTCAATAAGATATTCGAGACAAAACTCAGGGAATACGAAGAACCAATGTGTCCTCTTCCAAATCGCGCAGATGACCGGGGAGATTGTGTTACGAGATTGGGTGCTCCTTTCCAAAGAACAGATAATCAGTACATACAAGATGCTGTTGGAGTTTGTAGCTCAAAGGGAAGAGTGAGTCATTTAGGCTGTACACATTTTCCCCTTCGGTTCGTGTTGAACTTACTCGATTCTCCTAATTTCCAGTTTATCGCACTATGCACAAACAGAATTTCTTCGGTCTGTTGCTATGATTCTGAAAAGAGGCATTCTTGATGGCAAAACAGGCGACCAAGAGGAACTTTTCGAGCTCATTCATAACTTGCTCGTCAATCCGCACCAACGGCTAGTGAGTATTCACCTTGACTCTTCTACTTTCTGCATGGAGCTACTTGGAGATTCCAGCAAGCTATTGGCGGAGAACTCATTTCTGCAATTACTCAACAATTTTCTTCTTCTTGGCGGAATACCAAATTCAGTATTACGTGGGATTTTCATGTGAAAGCTAAAACGGAGTTTGAGGTAAAATTTTGACATATGTTTCTCTTCTACAGAGGATTTATGCTTTGATATTGTTTTTTTTTTCGTTCAATTTTTCATCACGTTCATTTGAGATTGGTGTAGGTTTTTGCTTCCTATGATGTTCATCACATTCGTTTATCTATAGTCTTTTTTTAATCTAGTCTTAGTCTAAGTGTACCAACATGAGGACACGCAACGAAGTCCACGTCAAATTTTTGACTTCCCTTCAAGTCTCGGCTGCCAAAGTTCTGTTTATTTCATTTCTTTTGACGTTTGAGCTCCTCTGAAAGGTACGAAGTCGGTAAGCATGTATTTAGACATCTAACGCATATAGGGCATGATTATTATTGAGTACCTTCTTCGTATGGAATTTCCCTTGCTCGTATCGTTCGTGTCGAGTGAAAGGGTGGCAAAGATATAGTTTCAATTATGCAGAGGGGTAACAATGATGTAGTTTCAATTATGCAGCTGTCGCTATCTTCAGGATACGGGTCTAAGACGCCTTTTGGAGATGTCGCTGAAAACACTTCACGCACTTGCCTCACAATCTGATATTCTACCTGATGAATTTGCTCGTCGAATATGTGACAAATTTCTCGAGGTATCTGTCTTCTAAAACATGTATAGATAGCAGTTTTGTCAATATCATTCAGGTTGCCGAAACTACTTTGTCTTGGAATTTTGCATCGAAAATATTTCGTCGGGTATTTTCTCTTTGTCAGGTATTCTTTTTGAAATTTTGCAATGGCGTCTTTGTTAGCCGCTACTCCAGACCACAAACTCCTTTCGACCACCAGCTTCATGGAAAGATCTCCTCGAGAATGATGAGTTCTTCACACTTTTCTTCCAGGCAAGCCTCTATATCGTGCAATTCTGAATATTACACTTTTTAATCTAGTATATCTGCTAAGTATAGGTGCATGCAAAGATACGCACTGATGAGAATCTGTCTTTGCGATCGCTTTCTTGCTTGGTGCAGTTAGCTGGGCTTTCTGGCGAAGTTATGGCATCAAATGAGTTTACTGAACACTATGTGAAACTCTATATTGGCTCTTTAATGGAGTTGTTTGCCGAAGGTCCTTGTTTCCTTCCACTATGTTATTTACCTTTTTTCTTCTCCCAGCACAATTTTACCTCATACTGCAGGTCCATTACCGCATGAAATCAATCATTTCTGCACCATAGTCAATCGCTTATTCCAATATCGCCCCATACAAACTATAATGAGGATAGGACCCGATCTCAGAAGGCAGTTCCTGCTCTATCTGTCACAGTATATTCAGCATCTTAGTAAACAAGCCATGCATAAAGCTATCGTAAGTGTTTTGTTGCTTACCTCGCCTTCAACTTAGACATTCTGCATAGGGTGCGGGTGAGCACGACGATCATCATTCATTAGCCTTATTATATGACTCCTGGACTTTATTATTGAGAGGAAGATGGAGGCTGGAATTGTCACAAGAGGAGGAGACTATGATTGGTTGGTTACCTTATTCGCACCATTTCTATAAGCATTCTGCGCTTTTCAGGCATATACATCATATCCTGTCTTGTTTTTTAGACACTGAACTGATCAACGGCCCAAATGTACAAATTATCAAGTGTTTTGTGGAATGTGTTCAAGCTCCACCGCTTGGTTGCCGCGTACCTGTAGTCGCAGAGAATGACGATGAAGAAGATGATGACAGAGTGGTATGGTTCTTTTGGTTTCATTGCAAACAATTCCTTTGAAATCTTTCCCTACTAGCTTTTTAACGACTTGCTCACACCCTTGGGAACTATGGCTTGTTATTCTGTTCGTGATTATATGGATATGATGATTCAGTAAGTCTTCTATTGAAGCTGTTCATTTTCTTCTATTTACCCTGCTCAATGCAGTTTGCTGCGGGAACGTATAGCTGAATTCCAAAGAATGGCTTCTGGATCGGCAGATGTGGCTCGCCTACCGCTATGGCAAGAGGACATGCACTGGTTGCTGCTGCTGATTTGTAAGCTTTTTGTCTTTTTGTATGGTTAATGTTTCATGAGGCTTCGAGAGGGTGTCTGGAATTTTGTTGAGTTTGGCTCTACAGTTAAAATTATAAGCGCCTGCTTTGAGCAACTTTCGGATGATGTGGCTGTTTCCAAATCCTTGAAATCGATTCGTATGTTTTCTAGACAGTTAGCGTTCACTTGCGAAAATTTTCTTGCATGATGATACTGCTTGTTGCGCAATCTTACCCTATGACATCTGAATAACCCCAGCTCAGGCTTTTTTTGCATTTGTTGCTAAAGCTCTTGACAATTCATCCATGTAGCGCTGCAGGATTGCACCTAGCGCATATTTGTTAGCAATTCTGAGCTTTTCCTCCTCATTTGCTGGGAATCCACTATATTTCTCACGAAAAACATTTTTTTTCAAATAATTTTGCTTCTTAATTGTTCACGGAATGGTAGAGCTCCAGTTCGCAGGTATTACTAAAATTTCGACAAAATTGATTCTAGCCAACTCCGTGGTCAGTGAGGACATTGATGGGACCTGCCGTACTGAGGGAGACGTGTTTGAGAATTCTGTAGCGCTGGTAGCCGAAAGAGGGCATGTGTTCAAGTAAGATTTAGTGCTCGGCATCGTATTCGTGGACTTTAGTTCTTTTGTGTTGCAGTATTGACGATGCGGATGCATTTCTTTGCCGGTGTATCGATGACCCCTCAACAGATAGAGCTCAAGCAGATAGCCGTGTTGATCCCTATTTGAGGTAGGTTTGTATTTTGTGATAAGCTTCAAAAGTTGATATGCCCATGCTCAGATGTAGTAAATATACTGCAACACATTTCAGACTTATTGGCGAAGTTTTAGCTTGGGCTTCTCTTGAACATCACTTAGTTTCCGAAGCAGTCGCTAATTTCGTCAGTCCAGAGTTGACTCGGTTAGTGAGAGATGAATGAATTGTTCTCTAGACATCTGAGTAATCATTTAGGTCTTCTCTACTTTGCCTTAGAAGGTTACTGAGTGCAGCCAGCTGCCTAGTCGAGTACAGTGTGAGTTGATTAGATCTTAGATTTTACCTTTTGTTTATTTTCAGACTTTTTGTGTTATTGCAAATATTTGCAAAACTTTTTATTCCATTATTTTTGTCTATTTTTCTTACAAAATTTTAGGACGCAGATCCATTAGCACTACCTGTCCTGCCACAAACGGGCAGATTTGCTCAATTAATTGTTAAGTTCGTTGTACATAAGGTTTTCACTGTTCTACAAAAGTTCGGTGGGGAAGAAAGGTGCGATTCTTTTGAGTACTTGTTCGTGGAATACCCATCCATAGAATGTTCCAATTTAGGTTGTGTATGGATGCTGTCAATTTGTTGATCGGTATGACAGAAGCATATGCAACATCTCTGGCTTCAGCACCTGAACTGTTCGATCACTTAGCACAACTGGATATAGCTGCTTTACCCAGCAGGTCTTTTGCATTTTGGTCCATGAAGTTTCGGACAAGGATTCTTTTATCGTTTTAGGACATTGCTGATGAAAGCTTTGGTGTTGATTGGGGCTGCAACAAACGACCAGTCGTTGCAAGAAAATATGTCGGCTAGGGTGAGTTATCATCCTGACTTCGACATCAATAAAGCCATCCACTTTTGAGCGGTGAGTGGAGCATTCTTACTAAATGGCTACTCTTCAGATTCTTGACCCTCTTGGTCAGCGATTTGCCGCAGCTTGTCAACAGCCGCCCAGCTCAGAAGTAGATAGTCAGCTTGTGGATCTCATTCAGTGCATGGATGGTGTGGCAAGAGCTAGTCAACCGCACTCGGCAGCTATTCTATTTAGTAACTCTCTCTGAAACCCCGTAGCTGTGATAATTTGTCATTTGTTGTAGAATTTCTAAGTCCTGTACTGGAAAGCTGTGTGCCACTCATGAAGTCGCGATCATACTCTCAACCTGTCGTAGCAGCCATCTTAGTGCTCATTCAGAATATCACAACAAAAGTCTCTATCTATGTGGATGATAAGGTATGTTATAAATTTGTGGTGCGCGTTTCATTGTAGGCCATTCGTTGCCGATATCGATGTGATTAGCTCTACCAGAACTGTTAATGCTGGTTTGCTTTCCCGAGATAATCTGAACTTGGGTTACTCGCTTCCTTTGAATCGATAGCCTAGAAAGCTTATTCTGGAATTAAGGAAGACTCTGCAACATTATATCGCACGATCGTTATGATTGTTGATGTCTATCGGTCTGAGCAAGCTTCACGCTTTGTTGGAATGACGGAAAATGATGAAGACAAAGGAAGTGACCTGGTGAGGGGTTACGCTACTCTTTCCATGAAATTATCTTGGTCTCGTATATTATCTCTTTCTAGGTGCTCTTCCTGGATATCTTATCTAATGTTTTGTCAAAGGATATCCTTGAGGGTGGCGAGGACAACATTGCAACTGGTGCTCAGGTAATTCTCATACAATGTAGACATGTTGTATAGCATGTTGTATAGCATTGGGTTTAGGTTGCATTAGCTTCTCTGGAAATGCTGCTGGGTGTGATGAACGAGTCCACACTGAAATTGCCGGATCTTGCCATGAAATTTTTCCGACTTGTGCTTTATCTTGTAGAGTTCTCCAGAGAGGCGTTATCTGTCATGTCTACCGATCTCCTGGTAGCATTATGCCAATGTTTGAGGGTTAGTTTCATTGCTTTTTTTGTTTTGTTGTTGAAATGCTTGTTTTTAAGTAGCTTTAGTGGCAAAACTCATCAAAATCTTGTAATTCGCTAAAGAACTATTTGGAGTTGATATACTAATTATTGCAGGAAGGCATGACATCACAATATGGGTCCGAGATCGCTTGTACATCTATGGAAGCGCTAACGGAAATAGTCAGCTACTTCATAGCAACAAATTACCCCGTGCCTCCTCAATTAGCCCAACAATTCAGCAGTACAATTCCTGTAAGTTGCTGAAATGTAAATGTTTTTATTCAAGCGCATATATCTATCTTCCAGCTGGCTTTCGAAACGTGCCTAGAAAATAGTTGCGAGAACACAATCTTCAATGAGGCTACCTCCTGCTTATATAGTTTGATATGTTTCGACAAAGTACGGCGTCTTTGTACATCTGTAAACACTATTAAGAACGTAAATCTAGGTTGGTTTCGACCAGTTCGTAACGCAAATGCTGTCAAACAAGAGCAACGAAGCTGCGTCCAATAAACTTAGAGAGGAATTTGCAGCATTACTTCCGGGAGACCCAAAACCAGGACGACGAGACAGGTTAGCTGATCGACCAGTATCAAGTAGTTTTACATAATTACAGCGGTACACATGAGAAGTTGAATTCTAAACAAATTCATCACAGCTTCTTAGTTGATTGGATTATTGTTTTTTAACACAAGCAGAAGGATTCGACCAAAAGTCACAACAATAGAAAAAACTGCTTTGGGAGGTACTGTACTCGAGGCCGCTGATTGATTTGCTTAAAAGAGTACGGGCTGGGTTTGAGGCTGGAGATGTAATTGATTGTGAATAATCATTTGCTTTCGCTTTTATGTGATGCTATGGTTCAGAAATAACCCGCCTGCTCAGATTAGCCTGGACTCTGCCTTCAGTTGATGTTTCAGTCAATGAAGATGTCGATATATTAATTGGGGCGGGATTTGTTTCTAGCACGATGCAGAGCAGCATTAGTTTTCTGGAAAAGCCTGTTTGTAAGAAAACATAAACGCTTGATTTCAGGATTGCCTTTCGCCAACGCATGGAAAGATTTTTGAATGAAATTCAGGGACTTCTATCTTATGTATAACGACGCAGTAATTACATCAGCTCCTTTCAAAAAGATACTTCCATTTTTCTTGGTATGCATAGACATATAGAATTTGACGGCGAATACAGTATCCGTTCGATGCCGAGATTGGGCGACAAAATTTGCGCTTGAACAAACATTTACGCCTGGAGTGCCATCATTTGCACGCGCAAGTTGCAGGCATCACAGGCGTAGCTGATTGTTCACGCGTAAATTTTGTCGCTCATCTTTTTATATTTGCCGTCAGATCTACTAGCCTCTATGTACGTGCAATCTGCTTTTGAAGACATTGCTGTCGATTTGCTTGTTTTTTGACGGTCTTGAAGAAGCCCTTTCATGTTTTTCCTTTCACATATAATATGTAATAATTCTAGATACTCTACTAATTTTGTTTTGCTGAAGTTGAAAAGTTCCTTAGTCATTCGTATTCACTACTCTCAATCTGCTGGTTATACGCACTAACGGTGATTAAGTACGTCGTAAATACACCTCTTGATCTTGATTTTGTGTTGCATAAATCTCTCATCCTGTTCTTTTGTGTGGGAGGCGCTACATCCCAAATACTATGGCCTTTCGGAACGAGATCTATACCAAAATAGGTTCACGGTACGCTGAACAGATATGTGTTCCGTATTTGTTCTTCAAGTGTTCTGACCACACAGGTTTTTAGATGGTCTTTATTATGCAATACACGGCCTAACGTTTCGACGCCTTCGTCTTCCTCAGAGGCCTGAAAGTGGTTCAAAACGTTATCCGTGACTCTAAGCCATCAAACACCTCCCCTAGTCCGGCTAGCTCAACCTTCGCTCAGCTTTCTTTCTTTAAACCTGGGCATCGTATATATTCTTCAAGTGTTCTGAGCCACACACATAAAGAAAGCGAGACATGGAAACTGTTCCGTATTTGTTGTGCGCTTTTATATGAAGAGTGTATGTACGTTCGCCTCGATTTCTCACAGCCGACGATAAGTGCGAGCATAGTTGCGATAGGGGGAGTGATGGATGTTACCCCCTTCACTATGAGGCCAAACTCCGGATGACCCCCTTCACCTGGGCTGAGATTGGTATTGTACTCTGAGAATATGATAAAAATCTTTATTAAAAGGTTTTGCAGGCTAAGTACCTCAAACAACAAGTACACTCATAAATTTACAAAAGAAACGGTATTTTATATTATTTATTTATCCTCGTAGCATTCATTTGGAGAGGAGAAAGTGAGGACAAAAAAGCAGTTGGTTCTTGATGCATATAAAATCCCTCATATCTCGCGGCACAGAAGACCTAGAAAAAAGTCGACGGCCTACGTCTTCCCCATGATCCCAGCTTTCGAACGGTATACAGCATGTTAGGGCTTCTTTGCTTCCCGGCTCTAAAAATCATTTGCTCCGGTAACCGATAAAAGCCAACACATTGTATAGGTCGTCCCGAAAGTTCTTGCGCACAATTTTCAAAAATTCATAACTTCTGATTTTTTAACCGATTTGACTGCTTCTATTTTCGTATGAAATAGTAAGTCATGTTTTTTTATAATGACATCTTATCTGCTTACTGATGGTCATCTGTTGCATAGATAGGAGCGATAGAAGAAAATTAGTCAAAATTTGAATTTTCTGTGTAGGGTCATAAAAAAACGGAGACTTGCAACAAAAATCGGAGCAGTCAGTATTGTACGTTCTTTCACCAGCTCTTTCTAACAGTGCAAAGTTTGCGCCGATTGAGCGCCTCTGTAAAAAGTTATGATTTTCGAGCAAGCAGTACAAAAGGGCGAATTTGATTTATTTTGGCATTTTTCAGGGAAGTCATAACTTTTCATAGGACGCTCAATCAGCGCAAACTCTGCACTGTTAGAAAGAGCTGGTGAAAGAACCTACAATACTGACTGCTCCGATTTTTGTTGCAAGTGTCCGATTTATGACCCTACACAAAAAATTTAAATTTTGACCATTTTTCTTCTATCGCTCCTATCTATGCAACAGATGATCATTACTAAGCAGCTTAGATGTCTTTATAAAGATCATGACTTACCCTTTCACATAAAAGTGAAAGCAGTCAAATCGGTTGGAAAAATTAGAAGTTATGAATTTTTGAAAATCGTGCACAAAAACTTTCGGGACGACCTAATAAGAGCGAGGTGGAGCAAGTTAATAGTAAAAAAATGTGCTGTGGATTGACATCGTTATCAGTACTGACGGGAACGTGAGCGAACGCGTTTATTCAAGCGTGCTTATCGTTTTATTTGTTTATGTTTTTTTGGTAAAAAATGCCTTTTTATTGACAGTTATGCCATCATTATTAGCACATACTCAAAAAACTATGGGAGATTGGTGATTTTCCACACCTTCACACAAACCCGCCCATTTCTGGAATCTATACTCTGTAAATCTAGTGCTGAAGAAGGTCACTTTCGTGAAAACGCTCTAGACTCACCTTACCTAATTTGTAGAGAATGGTTGGTTTCAATGAATCAAAAACTTTAGACATTCAGAAGAATAACATGCTATTAAAATATCCCTCAATGTTTTGTAAAGGGTGGCAGTTTGAAAAGGAAACGGCAGGCAGAATACTTGTAAAAACCGCAGATGACTCGCATGTGTTCCAGTTCAACAGCGAGACAGAAGGAGAATCTTACGCCGACCAAAATGTTGTCGACATTGATACAGAGTTGACAATTGAGCGAAACTCTCTATTTTGTACATCAGAAATCCAAGCAGATTGCTTAGTTTCAATGAGGAAATGTCCAGGAAGTCCATTGCTGATCTTCAGGTTGCTGAAGATTTCAAGGCTCTCAATTCACAAACATGGATATGAACAACAGGAAGGTGTTAGTACAGCATAGCTACTGCTCTTAGATCCCGACTGGAGTGCGAACCAAACTCTGTGCTTTATGCTTTTGGAAGTTATTCGCTTTGTGACATTATGAGATATTGAAAAACCAACGCGCAGCATAGTATCTACTTTTTTCGGCTATTCCGCAGATGTTGTTAAAGAAGAAGTTGAGCAGCTTTCTCATCAGCTAACAGGACGTATGCCAGAAGAGGTGAAGCCAGAGTTCGACAAGGCCCAAAAAAGTATGCACTATTTCCTTCCCGTGATGCGAAAGCATATGCGATCTGGCTCTTTTCCCATTACTTACCGCAAAAATCTGATGGACTTACTAGCAAAGCTAGTTTCCATTCCGACTAGCACGGCAGAGGTGGAGAGAGGATTTTCTATCTACTCTGTTCAGAACACAACGCAGAAGTCGCACAACGGTGGAGCATCTAAGCAATTAGTTAAGGTTGTCAACATTCTACTAAACATATTGTTATCTAAAAAATCGTTCAAAGGATTGCTATAAGTGGTCCAGACAGGATGTCACCGTATGTCCTCTTGAAATATCCTAAAAGATGGTATGAAGAGAATGGTCACCTACCTGCTGACTTTCCTGGTGCTACCAGAGGGCGAAAAAAAATCACAAAAGCGCTTAGAGAAGAAGAAAGTTTCAAATCCATTTTCGACTTAGAACGCTTTTTCACGCAATTCTACTTCTACTCCGATGACCTTTTGGAAGAAGAAGAAAATTTTTCAGGCAGCGAACTTGTTGTCTCTAACGTTAGCGGTAGTGATATTGTTGATGATGATGTGCAGGAATTGAAGTTGTTCCTAACTTGTACATCTTTTGGCATAAACCTTATTGCTTTCGTTTTTTGTTGATGCAATGAAATAGGAGCACAGATCTTCATAAAGTCAATTTTTTGAAATTTTTTAATTTCTTTTAAAATTTTCAAAGTTTTTTTCAATTTGCCTAAATAAGGTACAAATTAGAGCTCTTCATACCACGCTTTTTTACCTTTTCTCTCTTCCTCCCCCCCCCCCCCCAGGCTCACATACCTCCTTCACCTGGAAGGTCGGAAACAGCCGCCCCCTTCACCTGGAGAGAGCCCGGCTCCCCCTATCGCACCTATGAGTGCGAGCCTCGCTCACAAATCTAGACCCCTGTATCGGCTAGTGGTAGTTTGTGAGACAGTGAAGCTGATGAACTTTTGGGTCCGAGTTCTTTTGTGTGCAGTATTTCTGGTGATGTTCGTAAAGTTCCTTTTCGAACATAGAACCACATGAAGCCTCAGTACATCGTGCCTATCATTATGAAGGGAAGAAAGCGACAGAAGCAAGAAAACAGCAGTAAAAGCTTTCAGAAGATTGAATAGTGTATATCAATGAATTTCGGCATAATATTGATACTTCGTTCTTTTCCATTAAAGCATACATGAGATTGGTGACAACTTTATCCAATCCAAGGCTAACGTTAGATCGCCATTGTCAGAGTCTGTAAAAGACAAACAATCTGCGGCAGGCGCAGAAGCAATATTAGTTGAGCGGGCGCGAACGCGACGCGCGCATATCTTCACCGTTGAGCCTGGGCTACATGCGCTCTGCGGCTAAAAAAGCCGCGTTCGCCCCCAAAGATATTGCGCCTTCGTCATGCAGCAGCCTATATGTATGTTTACAGCTGAACAGACAAAATTTACTGTGCGGCTGGATTAGTGATCTAAAACAAGGTCTAGCATTTCGTTTATAGAGGTACTTTTTTGAGTCGGTTACAGATCATTTTTTTCCTTTACAGAGTCTGACGAACGCACTGCCGGTCAGTCGTGAATTGAATGAAACTGTCGGCAATGTCGTGTATGGGTTGATAAGAAAGAACAAAGTAAAAAAATTGTGTCACAATGGGAACGATGATTTTAAGCAGTAGGTGGTATGCCAACGTGAATATAAGCTGTGATACAGTCAATAAAGTGAAGGGTAATTTTATAAGTCACTAATCTCTGAACTCAAATATGCCGTTCGGAAATGGGTGTTCCCTGCTTAGCTTAAGAATGCGGCTGATGTAAGGAGACGCTTGCTCCTAATAGTAAGGAGCAGAAGAATGTGGATCTTCTGGATTTAATATTGCGTGAAGCCGTTCATGGATGCAGGATGTTAACAGTGAAGAACTCAGACAATCGCTGGGGGCAGGCGGGCACCGGAAAAATAGATTTCTGATTTCTCGCACCCCGCTCGCGGATTTTTTGGACAGCAATCAGGACTTTTCGGAAGACCGCTCGCTGAGTCAGCGGATTTTTGAGAGACCGCCTGTTGAATTTTTTTCGCTCTTATCTTTTGCAGATATATTGCTGAATCTCTGAGGAATCGAGAACTCAGCAAGCGGTCTTCCGAAAAGTCCTGATTGCTGTCCAAAAAATCCGCGAGCGGGGTGCGCGAGATCAGCAATCTATTTTTCCGGTGCCCGCCTGCCCCCGGCGATTGTCTGAGAATGTGGTATGGATGGTTTGGAGCTTCTGGTCTGTCAACGATACGGATTGGGTAGACCTTGAAAACTAAGAATCCGTTTGATTTGGAGAGGTGGATGTGTCAAAGGAAGTGGTATGCTTTAGGAACTTTTCAAACGATTTTTTTTGAATGAACAATTTAGGTGAAAGTGGCAATAGAATTTTACCGATCGACAGTACAGAACTAGAATCTTATTAGTATGGAGAGTTGATTTCGATCTATC